CAAATATACAAACATACGTCAAGCAGTGCTAACTTTTGGTCTTAGCAATATACTGCTCACCCGTATTCGGCCTTCCATCTGGATTCCAGCTTGCGAGGTCACATGGGCAGTCCTAACCATACTGCTGGCAAAATGCCAAACCACGACTCAAATCTACGTGCTGCGCTTCTTTATTGGACTCGCAGAGAGTACTTTCTATCCTGGAATGCAGTACATCATCGGTTCATGGTACCGCAAGGATGAGCTAGCCAAGAGATCGTGCATCTTCCACGCGAGTGGCGCCCTTGGCACCATGTTCTCGGGCTACCTGATGTCTGCCGTTTATCATCTCAACGGCGTCGGCGGATACAAGGGCTGGCAATGGCTGTTCATCATCGACACCGTCATATCCCTTCCAATCGCCATTGCCGGCTTTTTCGTCCTGCCCGATGTTCCAGAGATCACCAGGGCATGGTACTTCACCGCCGACGATATCGCCCTGGCACAGAAGCGTATGCAGCTGGAGGGCCGTGCCAACCGAGCCCCTTTCACCAAGGCCAAGTTCAAGAAGATCTTTTCGAGCTGGCACATTTATGCCCTGGTGGCACTCTACATCTTCTTCAACAATGGTGGCGGAGGCGGCCAGCCGGCGTTCCAAATCTGGCTCAAGAGCAAAGGCTACCCGATTGAGGCGGTCAATTCATACCCGACCATCACGGCTGCCATCACGGTGGTCACAACGCTTATTTACGCTTGGTCTTCAGACACAATTTTCCGCGGAGCGAGATGGCCTCCGATTGTGTTTTCAGGGTTGATGAACATCTTTGTATTCGCGAGCCTGGCGGCCTGGAACATACCAGACGGGTGGAAGTGGGCGTGCTACTTCCTGATTGGGTTCGGCGGTGGAATCAGCGGGCTGACATTTGCGTGGGCCCACGAGATTTGTGGGGAAGACAACGAGGAACGTGCGATTGTGACGGGGGCCATGAACGAGATGGCATATGTTGTGCAGGCATGGCTACCGCTGTTGATTTGGCAACAAGTTGAGTCGCCAAGATATCCCAAGGGCAATCTCACCATGGTTTTCATTGCTGCGGCATTGATTGGAACGACATTCTTGATCCGGTTCTTACACCAGCGCGAGAAGGCGGCTAAGAAAGTGTTGTATGACGAGGTTGACGAATAAGGGGTGGAGGAGAACAGTTATTAGTCTGGCCATTCCAGCTCCATTGTTGTTGGATACATGAGTTTAGCGGAGCGGAATTCTGACTTTGATTGTGTGTCCCAAATATTGCAACCACCACCACCACCACCACCACCACCACCACCCTGAATGCGACAATCGTCGTTGTAAAAATGTTGTTGTGATGACCGATACTGCACTACTGGTGTCAGTTCCTAGTTCTAGAACTACTTAGGACTTTGTTAGGGCTGAACGAAACATCAAAACTTTTCGACTAAAGAAAACGAGTGCAGTCGAAGACAAATGATGTAAAGAAACACGCCGGGATTTATGGCGTCAACCGGCAGGGATATCGGGAGAAAATGGTACTAAAAGCAATAATAATTGCAACATTAGGAAAACATATGATGTTCTGCGTGGGGGCACGGCCTGCCCAAGTGTCGGCTACTGAAGTTGCGCAATTGACGGCGGTGGATGGCGTGCTTTCTACGGGCGAGGGGGTGTGCCTGTGGTTGAGGTAAGCAAACGGACAACTCGGAATCGCCACAATATCGAGCGAGGGGTTGGTATTCCCTAGCTAACAAAGGCCCCGGCTAGAGCTGGTCTGCCAGTTCACTGCATTGTATCCATCAGGGGAAGCAGACCCCTCCTTTAGCAGGGACTGCATAGCTGTTATTTACATTTAGAGGATCACGCGATATTCACGTTAATTAGACGGCTGTCCACTACATACACTGGTTGGGTACTGGTTCAACTCACAACGACATCAAGGCGATTCGGAGAATCAGAGTTCTTAGTTCTTTGTTATAGAGAGCTCAAATTAATGTTTGGGACACTTCAACCACAGGACTGACGAGTTTATTTCACCACTCCCTATTACATACATCATGGCCCATTTGAATAGCCCACCGTCACCGCCACTGGCATCTTTGGCGACTGCGGAGGCCCGGTTCGGCCGAGCGAAGACGGTGGCAGTCATCGGGGCCGGCATCAGTGGGGTGTGCACAACAGCTCACCTGCTGAAGCAAGGACTCTCGGTAACGGTGTTTGAACGGTCCACCATCCCCGGCGGCGTGTGGCACTATGACGACCGCGCGTCCGAGGACCCCCCTTATCCCAACCAGGTGCCCTCTCTAGGGGACTATAGAGTGTCCAAGCGAGGAGAACATGCGGTGGCAGCTGGGCCAACACCGCCAGCAACACCCGAGAGGCGCACCGTCAATGGGACTGGCGGCACCATCAAGGAGGGCGAGGAGAAAGAAGTCGAGAAAGACCCAGAGGTCAGCTTCTCACCGCCAGGGCCCTGCTATGCCGGACTCAAGACCAACGTGCCCACCACCCTCATGCGGAGCACCTTGGGTTCCTGGCCCGAGGGCACGGGGGAGTTCACGTCGCAGCAGCACGTGGAGCTCTACGTGCAAACGCTGGCCAAGAACCATGGGGTGCAAGACGTGACCCTCTTCCAGACCCGCGTCGACGAGGTCCGCAAGACGGCCGACAACTCCAAGTGGGAGGTGCGCTCCGTCACGCTCATCAAGACACCCACGCCACATCTCGTCGAGCGCATCTCGCTCTTTGACCTCGTCGTGGTCGCGTCGGGCCACTACAACAACCCGCGGATCCCCGAGATCCCGGGGCTGAAGCAGTGGAAGGCCGCCTTCCCTTCCCGCGTCATCCACTCCAAGCAGTACCGCAATCCCGAGCACTATCGCGGCCAGAACTTGCTGGTCATCGGTGCGGGCGTGTCCTCGGTCGACATCTGCCGCGAGCTGGACGGTGTCGCTGCCAAGGCGTACCAGAGCGTACGCGGCGGTTCCTTTGACCTCCCTGCCTCGATGCTGCCCCCCAGTGCTGAGAGGGTAGCCGAGGTAGCCGAGTTTGTTCTCCAGGATTCAAACCAAGACAATATCAGCAGCAGTAGTAGCAGCCGCGAGGAGACTCCCCGGCCCATCCCCGGCACAGCAATCCTCAAAGATGGCCGCGTCCTGCACGACATCCATCAGGTCGTCTTGGGCACAGGATACATCACCTCATACCCCTTTCTCTCGCAGCTGCACAACGACACGGCCCACGCCAGCGAGGTCAACGGCAGCGCCACCACCCCCTCAACACTCGTCTCCTCAGACGGCGAGATGGCGCACAATCTGCACAAGGACATCTTCTGGATGGCCGACCCAACCCTCGCCTTCATCGGCGTGCCCTACTACGTCGCCACCTTCTCGCTCTTTGACTTTCAGGCCCAGGCCCTGGCGCGCGTCTTCGCCGGCGCCGCCAAGCTGCCCGCCCTAGAGGAGATGCGGCGCGAGTACCAAGACCGCGTCAATGAGAAGGGCCTCGGCAGGGGGCTGCACAGTCTGTATGGGCCCAATAAAGAGATTGAGTATGTCCAGGACCTGGTCGATTGGGTGAATGAGGGGGTTGCGGACGAGCAAGACAAGATGCTGCCGCATGATGAAGAGTGGGTGAGGAAATATGAGGAGGTCAAGGCGAATAGGGTGGCCGTGTTTGGGGAGAGCACGTTTGGGCAGACGAAGAAGAAGGAGGTAGAAGTGGAAGCGAGTCAGGGGGTGGTGAGCGAGGAGGTGAAGAAGGGGTTAGAAGAGGGGATTAAGGGGTGAATGAAAGGAAACATGTGGTATCTAGTTCAGATGATTGACCAAAGAAATAACCACGATCAGATAAGTACAAAATAGGCCTGTATCTAGTCAGTTGCTACGGATATCCGGCCCATAACCCAAGTTTCAACTGTTTATGCCGTCTCTCACATCACGACCGCTTTCGTGCTGTAACCTACCTTAACACTTACCAACTCCTTTTCTTATAACTGTCAATTTCGAAAAACAACATACATCAAATCGGTATGCTCGCTCCTGTTGGATGTTGCCGATAAGCGGCCGACCATAGACCAACAGGCCAACCAACGCGCAATAAGCCGACGCTTTAGGAGTCAGGAGGGATGAGCACTGTGCATATTGCCCAGTATGAGTCAGCCTTGGCTTGACTATTCGTACCTGTTGGGCTGTTTGTGTGAACCCTGGATGATATTTCAAGGATGTCAAGCACCTGCATTTGTATTCCTGGCTGCGGGATCGCCATCCTTGCTCTGAGTTCTTACATATTACCTGTCTCCCATCTAACTGATAGGTGAACTTCCACATCGGCTACTGCCTACCTAGTCATATATCTCCCCTTGCTCGCATCACTTCAATCGAATCATCTACCAAAAGCAAAGCAACCATGGCAACCCCACAGCCTCAACAGCTGATCAAGTTCGATGTATGCCTGTACAAGAGCGACGACATCTCGTTTGAAGACTTCGTCAAGTGGGTGACGGAGGACTGAACGCCAAAAGCCATCCCTCTGATGAAGAAGCACGGCATTGTCCAATGGGCACAGGTGTGACAGAACAAGCATATTTACATATACCAGGAGGACAGCTGCTGACTTTAGAGGCAGACAGTAACACCACCACAATTTCGCGAGCCGACGCGCGAACAACTCAAGACCACGGTGTAGCGTCCCAAATGGACAGTGCCCGATTATGACATGGTCATGTCGTACTAGCTGCGCAGCCTAGACGATCTGCAGCGGCTGACCATGGGCCCCGGCTGGGCCGAGCTGGAGAAAGAGGCGGCGCTGCGCTCGAATATGGAACTTGGCCATCTTGTTGTTGGATTCGAGACTGTGCAGATTCACAGTGATGAAGCAAGAGGGACTCCTGCTGCTGCTTGAGGCGCGGTCCAGTCTTTGGCTCCACTTGGTGCCAAAAAGAAGGCCATCAACTCCACCAGGTGGATGGACTGATGTGGAGAGAGAGAGGACAGATGGCAAAAGTATTTGACAACAGTGGGATTCGAACCCACGCCCTTTCGGACCGCGAATTCAGATTGAAACACCTGAACACGGCGCCTTAGACCGCTCGGCCATATTGCCTTGTTTGATGGAAGTTAGAGGTTGTATCGGTGCCCAGATGTGAGCGGCCCTGGCAGCCAACCGCACGTGTCGATCGACTCAGCTGTAGATGGAGATTTCGGACAGCTGGCAATTATTATCCACCAGATAGATTAATGCAGTTGCAACTGGTGACTTGAGCGAGCAATGCAGACATGTGCAAGTATTAGATGTTGTATTATACGATGACCGTATGGAGGCCACGCCGTTTTAGGTTGTCCGCAGATCATGTCTACAGCGGAATTATCTCGCGCAGGGAATCATTTAATGCCGTATCCTTTCGCCCAGAGGAAGGAGCCTGCTCCGGCAAGACTGAGGACGGCCCAGGGCAAGTCGAGCTCAATGACGGACCATACCCAGAGACAGCCAACGGATGGGGCCTGCTTCATGACAGCCAAGTAGCTAACCGTATTTGTAATGTGGATGAGATAGCAGCCAGCCCAGATGCTTGTGACGAAGAATATGGCTTGTCGGAGGATGGGCTGGAAACGCTTGGGCAGACCGGGGAGAATGTTGGGTTCCGAGGCGTGCGCGTGGAAGGTATAGAAGAGAGCGCTGAATACTGAGTGATGTCTAGCGTTAGATAGGCAAATAACTAGGTTTATAGGGAGGCTCACCGAGAAATGCCTGGCCGGTCCGTACCCAGACCTTGGGCCAGACTATCCTGTCGATGGAATATTGGTGCTGCACCAGGACATCCAGTGTGAAGTGCAGCATGGACAAGCTCACGGTCCAGAGCAGAGTTTCGAGAATACGTTCGACGGTTGGAGGTAGTTTGGCGTCTTCATCTTCTTCTTCTTCTTCGTTATCGTCTTCATTCTTGGCGCCAGCAGCCTTGCGGGCGGCTCTCTTGGCCTTTTCATTTTCTTCCTGTTTCTTTTGAGCTTGGTCGAAGAGGCCCCTCTGCATCGCCATGTCCAGCAACGTCTGCTTCGACGGCCCCGACCTGTCGGGTTGGGCGAGCTTGATGCCCGACGGAGATCGTTCCCTGCGCTTCTTTGCCATGGTAGAATTTGAGGGTTTTGTTCGAGATTGGAATGTTTGGATGGCGAAGCACAACTGAATAAGCCAAAGGCGGGGCCAGCTGTCAGGTCACGGCAGTCTAAGACAAAACTTACAGGGGTCTGTCTAAAGTGGCGGCGGGACTGGTCAATGCAAGCGACGCGCTCATCTCGAAATTTGTCGCGTCTCCACTGCGCATATCAGCGGAGGACCACCTGTTCAACGTGCGCTACAAGTCAACCTACAAGGTATATTACGCTAATGGGATCTGGACCTGGGAATGCACAACCCCACGATAAGGTGCATCTCTGCCCAGAAAGAAGTATGTATCGCAATTGCCAATGTGCCGGTGTTGTGACGGGCAGTCAAGAGACGGCAAGCCAGGTAATTGCCGCAGGGCATCATCAAATACATGGCGAGACTCGATGCCCTTCCGTCATAACCACCACCACCTTTTTGGCGTCCCGCGACAGGCGTGTGACAGGGCCAGGGACCGGGGTATGAAGAGGTGGGTGGGTGTGGTCGTCATTCTAATCGCCAGGTGGCATTAACTGATCAAGGCGACAATTCGGTCAAGACAAGACACCTCAAATCGCAAAATATCCGTTCACTGAATCATTGCCCCCCGTTTGTCACCGACACCCCAGACCCCACGCGATCCCAAGTCCACCTACCCAAAGTAATCAATCCACTGAGGGGGAAAGACAGTCGCACAGTTTCACCTCCTGGCGTTTCCCTTGCATGCTTCCAGCCCTCATCGAGCTCGATCTTGTTAGCCCAGAAACCTACCTAATTCCAAGTCTTGTGTCTCCCGCATCAAACATCCCCGCGCCTCCTGCACTGCACTGCACCACACTGCACCCACCCGCTCGCTCCCGCGCAACAGCCGCTCCCGCAGCCGCATCGAATTGCTACCCGGTTCCGACACACACGCACGCACACACACACACTGCCTTCCATCGAACCCATCCCTCCCACCTGCCTGGCGCCCACCACAACAAAAAAAGAAAGGGGGTGTCGCTGCTACGCGGTTGGGGGAAGGACCGACAAACAGACGGCAACAAGGACAGTCACAATCGACGACGCAAGCGAAGGATGGATTGGCTCCTCACGCTCGGCGTCATCGCCGTCGTGCTCCCCTCGCTGTACATATACACCGTCTCCGTCGTCTCGACACGCTTCCCGACGCTGTACAACAAGCGCATCTGCCTGCTGATTGCGCACCCCGACGATGAGGCCATGTTCTTTGCGCCGACAGTCCTGGCCCTGACGCGACCTGAGACAGGTAACCATGTTAAGATCTTGTGCCTGAGCAGCGGTACGTCATCCCCTCTTCTTCCATCCTATCCCGGTGCCCGTACACCTCTTCTGACCATAGCCAACCCCCAATAACAGGTGACGCCGACGGCCTCGGCGAAACCCGCAAGCGTGAGCTCGCCAAATCCGGCTTGACCCTCGGCCTGCGCAAGGCCGATGACGTCTTCGTCGTCGAGAACCCCGACTTCCGCGACGGCATCACCACCTCCTGGGACGCAGCCAAGATCTCGTCCCTCCTCTGCGCCGCCTTTGCCCCGCAACACCTCGCGCGCCGCGCCGCCCGCAGCAACGCCAAAGCCAAAAGGAATGGCGGAGATAGCGACGACAGCAACAGCGACACAGCCCCGCCGACCGCCTCCATCGACGTGCTCATTACCTTTGACGCCGGCGGTGTCTCGGCCCACCCCAACCACATCTCCCTCTACCACGGCGCCCGTTCCTTCGTCGGCGCCCTCGTCGAAGGCAAACCCGGCTGGACGCCCCCCGTCGACCTCTACACCCTCACCACAGTCCCGCTCGCGCGAAAATACCTCGGCTTCCTCGACGTGCTGGGCACGCTCGCCAGCTGGGCGCTCAAGACGGCCGAGAAGAAGGACAAGAAGCACCCGTCCAGCCTCGTCTTTCTGAACGGGCTGGCCGGGAACAACGCCAGCATAACGACGGCCTGGCGCGCCATGGTGACGGCGCACAGGAGCCAGATGGTCTGGTTCAGGTACGGCTGGATCACGCTGAGTAGGTACATGTACATGAACGACCTGAAGCTGGACAGGATCAAGGGCCGGTGACACATGTTGTTGTGTTTGATGTGTATTCTATAATACCCCCCCGCTGCCGCTGTTTCGAATTATGAGACGGGGCATATGTTTAATATCTCTCTCTTCCTTTTCTTCTTGAATATATCTTTCCTCCATGGATTAAATGTACGGATATATGTGTCAAGTTAACAGTCTGTGGTGATCAGCCGCGGTGAATCTGATGGGTGACAGACGCACATGACAATGCGCAAGCGTTCTGGGTGTCGATATGCGTAGAGGGTATCATATTTATTTCAAACTCGCACAACCTATCGTTTGTGTACGTTTACTACTCATATGGGAGGTTTCCCCCACTGACCCGAGCATCATAACCCTGTGGTTGAAGCGTACCAAAAGTTCTCATGAGGTGAGGCATTGACTGTGAGAAGGCAAGGATGAAAACAACCACAAAACCACACAAAACCACTGCGCTACTCCTCTTCAGACACCACTTGACCAGCTATCCTTCTGGCGTAGGCCCCTGGCTACTGTTGATCGCCATTGACAAAATATCATCCCATCATCTCATCATTCCATCCATCCATCCACCCATCCCCCATCACGTAAACTGAGATAAAAGCGTACGCTTGCTCCCACGTCCATTCCGGCCTAAAAGAGCATTGTAATTCCCACTACGTACCCTCAGCTTTCGAAATTTGATACGTTCTGTGCGGTTCCGCTGGACGAATTCATTCTCCCAGTTCCCCTCCAACCCCTTCAGCAGCGGTATGACATCACGCCTCTCGGAGTACGTGGGGAAGATATCTGCCGTGATCGGAGTCGTCTTCACCGTCACACCAATCGCACCCCAGTCTACATCGTGGACCTGCTGCACGGAGTTGATGGTGACCATTCCGGTCGAGACGCTGTATTTGACCATCGTCGGCATCACAGACCGAAACGCGGCAATGATCTGCGGGATAATGCGCACCGCGAGCTCGTCGTCATGACCAGTCGGCTTTACCCTCTTCAGCATCGTCTTGAACATGCGCTGGAAAGTATAGCGCGCCGCCTCGTGTCTGGCGCGGGCGCGCTGCCACGCAATCATGAGCTCCCCCTTGGTATCGAAACCGAGTTCGCGGGCGATGCTGTGCTTGTAAAAAGCCGCTTCAACCTCCTCTCGCAGGAACTTGAGGTACGGCTCAAGCATCAGAGTCTCTTCCAAGGCCTCACGCAAGAGGTTCCGGCCAAGCAGCGATTTGATCAGGATGATGTATTGGTCGAAGCCGGGCTGGACATTGTAGGGCTCCGACGTCATGGTGTCCCAGACCATCTGCACCGCCTCTCCAGTCAAGACCTTGTTGGGGAACATGGACAGCTTCCATTCCGTCACGGCCGGGTGGGAAGACTGTACGTAGGCCCACTCCAGGATCCTGAACCAAAGACGGTCCGAGATGGGAACGTTGTACCAGCGCGACACAAAGTCAACCACCTTCATGGCTGTCCCTATTTCCGCGTTTGCGCAATAGGCTATGATGAGGGTCTCGAGGAACCGTTCGGTCGGGTACATGGGCGAATCTCGCCTGAAAGAACGACCAAAGTTGATCTCGCCGTTCCTTAGTCTATCGACATTTATGTGGTAGAAGGGCCGCAGTATCATGTCTTCAATGTCTGTCATGGATCCAGTTCGGGCGAGGGGAATCATCAGTGCACAGAGTATGCGCTCCTCGGCAAGACCAGACTTGATTCGCATCATATGGTATAACTTGATGATCTGCTTCCTCTTGAACATGGTCCTCGTGAGCAGCTCGGGTTGAAGGTCGTAGTCCTTTCTGTAGCCAAAACGATGTTTCGCGCGCAGTATTCTTCTCTGGCCGAGCTCCCTGAGGCTGTACAGAGAGCCCGTAGACTGTATCAGGTTGTGTTTAT